CCAGCCTGTACAACAATGTTATACATAGTAGTACCGGCGTTAGTCCTAACCAGTTGCACTTAGGATGGAAGCCTAGATCAGCATTAGACTTCCTCCTACCTGAAAACCGACCCGCTACAACTCCAGGCACACTTGAATATGGTGTGCAATATGAGAAGTTGCTGCAAGATGTTGTTGAACATATGAAGAAAGCTCAACAAGCCATGATTGCTTCTGAGAATCAACATCGCAAACAGTCCACATTTCAGGTAGGGGAACGTGTCTGGGTCAAGGCTAGTGAGTTAGGACAGGAGTTCGGAATATCTCGTAAACTAATGCCTCAATACTTTGGTCNAGAGAGAGAGAGAGAGAGAGAGAGAGAGAGAGAGAGAGAGAGAGAGAGAGAGAGAGTGAGAGAGAGAGAGAGAGAGGAGGCTACAAGACATACCTGGAATACTTGTATTCCTGTCAATTCTTCTTCATCAAAATCAGCCTTGCTGATGCCATCCTCCAAGGCCACAAAGCTGTAAGCAGCTTCACCGTCTTTCCTTCCCACATCAGTCTCCATGCCAACCTCAGCAGCATTACCATAGTCTGCCCCCAGCCAGCTCGACACCACTCCCACCACTGCCATTCCCGACAGCATAAGGTATTGTCTCCTATTTCTTGTGCCGCAGCCAAACAGCTTCATGAAGCTTTGCGCCCTATCCACCATGGCTGTTGTCTTTCTCTCTTCGTCAAAATAAACCTGACCATATGCCTCCAAGCAAGGAACATTTGCCGGTATTGATGGATCAGACTGCTGGCTATTATCTCCGGTCAGCAGTTCAATCTTTTGGGCAAGGGCAGATTCCAAACTTGACACGTCACCACAGGGGTCATCCAGCAAGGCGCCATGTGTGCAAGACCGTATGGCGGAGGTGTGCTGCTTCTCACCCCTGGCCATGGTATCATTTCTTGTCAGTGAAACAAGTACCTCAGCCGCCGGAACGATAAGCTTGTTTGATCGCCGTCCACGGACTTTCCAATCCGATGGCCATGGTTGGCCCTTCCAACCATTCCTCATGCACCATTTCAGCGGTGCTGATGATGTCAGCACGAGATCGAGATCACATTTGGATCTCGCGACCATGCCTGAAGCTGCAAGATTTGCAATCACAGCAGCTTTCCCATCTCGGAAACGAGGGGAAGCGAATGCAGCAAGATTTGTGAATACAGCCTTCTTGTCTCGGGAAGGGACGGGAGTGGCTACAGCGATGACAGTCCGATGGCAGAGTCGATAAGAATCGCTGGTGGCTCTTCGAGCAGTCGAGCGGTCAGGCTTTGCACTCGACAAGACAGTGCCTGTTAATGCAAATGACGATGACCCTGCTGGAGCGGATGACAAAGTGATGGTCGGTGATTTCCAGCTTTGACCGTTAGATGTACGGCTGAGCTCACAAGGCGATAATTTATGTGCACAATGACGAGCAAGGCGGTGCCAATCGTACCTTCCACAGCCACAACTGCTTTTGACAGAACGCCATAGTTGTTGATTGCCCTCTGCATGATAGCTGCTCCGGTGTGGTGAAGCCCCTCTCAAAGAGAAGCGACCTGGTTTCACCACCAGAATGCACACTTTGCCTGACAAATCCAATGCCATCTTCACTGCTCCTTGTTGTTGGAGCTACTTCTGCTTAGAATTTCAGAGGAAATTGCACAAAAGTCCCTGGATAAGCTTTTAAGTTACACCCCTCAGGCCACTGTGACTGCATATTACATTACGTAGAAAAATATAGTGTACCCCAGGTTGAACTTGGATCCAAGTTGAACAGCAATAAGGTTAAAAACACAGCGGAAACTTGTCTCCCCTGTTTTTCCCCCTCTTCTTTTTAAAAGGGGGCGACGGCCTTTGAGATATCATCATCGAACTGACCGGCCCTAGGTAGCTATTCTAGTATTTCACTCATCTGCTTCCAGTGGAGTTCGAACTCTGCACCTGGTCTGTATTTTGACAGATCAGCGGTGTACCAACTGAGCTAGGCCAGCTGTCAGAGCGGAATTTTGAATAAACCAGCAGGACAATAGAGTTCTAGATGAGCAAGTTTAACCCCGGGTTAAGATTCAAGAACCTTTCGGTCTTTTAGGAAAAGAGCATAGTTGTTAACCGGACGTCCAGATCGCGATCCAGACAGTCCGGTCTGGATGTTCGGATCCGGTGTCCGGTTTGGGGCGTCCAGTTGGGCCCCATTTCTAGAGAATTCGGAATTTTCTTTTGGGGTCCCCAGCTAGGCTACCAGAGTGGCCTGGGTCCACTTGCCCGGCCGGGCCAAAAAGAAATAAAAATAATAATTAATTTTAATTTTAAAAGTAAAATTTTAATGTAAATTTGGTAAAGTGTGAGGATTGATCCCTCAAGTAGGGGCCTTGCCATGATGTACATGTTCTGGGCTAAGGCCCCAGCAAGCCTAGTGCCCGCCCTAAGTGAAGGCAGGCCAGCAAATCAACAAGAGCCCTCTCGGCCAACATTTCACGAAATGGGGTCTATACAGTTGCAGCACGCCAGTTGGTTGGAGTGCACCGAGTCTCGGATTTCAGCAAATGCTGAAATGCCCAGGGCCTCTGAGTTAGTTAGGCCCTGGGCACTCGAACGTGAGGCCGACAATGCATGCTGGGTAGAGAGGCCGAAATGCCAAAGGGAAAATCGGCCCACTATCTGAATCTGGCCGCAGGCCTTGAGAAGAGAGGTGCAACTGCATTGCTCCGGGGCCCAACTGTATCGGGTAGGCTTCAGCCTCTGGGTCCCGGTCGCAGGCTGAAGGGAGGCCGCCCACATGCTGCATTGGCATATAGGCAAGCAGGGCGAGGCAGCAAGGATCTTGGCCAATGCTGGCACATGCGGGCACGCTGCGCGGATGCATGTGTGCTGCGTTGTGCAAGGCAGTGCTGCGCTAAGAGCAAGCAGGCCAGCGCTAGGCGGTAGGGCGCTGCCTGCACTGAGGGCACTGGCGGCCATAGCCTGGGCCGCAAGAGGGTGCAGGGGAGGTGAGGGCGAAGGTGGTACTTCGGAGGTGAAGGGCGCTGTGTGGGTAACAAGGGAGGGTGTGGGGAAGATGACACGTACCTGGTGATGGTGGAATACTGCATTGGTGTTGACATCATCACTCGCTGGTAGTCAAGTTGTCTGGTTCCTGTTCATTGCTGTAGTTGTAGGATAGGCTGTAGAGTAGATATGGCGCCTGGCGCCATTCACAAGAGAGAGCTACATTTGGGTTATGCTGTTGGTGTTGCCCTGTTGGGCATGGACATTGACTCACGATTCTTCTGTATCATTCTCAATGGGATGGTTACTCGGTTCCATGTGCTATCTGCTTTGGCTTTGAATACTTGGACTTCAGTGTGATTTTGCAGTCTAGATTTCTGTGCTTCGTCCATTCTCATGTTCCTCGCAAAAGAATTCCGATGTGACACTATCTGAGGCAAAAGTTGTTTAGTTCCAAAAAAAAAAAAAAAAAAAAGGAAGTTGTTCAGTTTATTTTTCTGCATTTTTTTTTTTGGATTTTTGGGATTTCGTTTTTTTTTTGGCCTGGGACCTTCCCTGGTCCTTGCACGCCCGGGCTGCCCGGGAAAATAGGGTAACCTGGGCAGCCCGGCTGGTAGCCTAGGTCCCCAGGCGACTTTCCACTGCCTGGTGGACCCCCGAACATTGTTGGTGCAGTTTTTGGTGGCCCATTGGGCCAACCGGACCAGCCCTGAAGGGCCTGTACTTGCAATCTTGGGTGAGCGTCAGCGGGCCAAGGAGAACTAGTTGTGTGTGTGTATGTGTGTGTGTGTGTGTGTGTGTGTGTGTGTGTGTGTGTGTGTGTGTGTGTGTGTGTGCGCGCATGTGCATGTGTGTGTGTTGTCATATTCGCTATACACTCAAAAGAAGCATGACTGTACCATGTGTGTGTGTGTGTGTGTGTGTGTGTGTGTGTGTGTGTGTGTGTGTGTGTTCAAGATAAGTAGGATAATACAACTACAGCAGTGTGTGCCTTTTTTTAACTAATATCCGAACACCCGGACCTGTTCATTCATAACCGGACCGTCCGGGTCCGAATTGGTGTCTGGATTACCAGGCGTCCGGATTAATCCAGACACAGGTCCGGGCCCAGTGTCCAGTGTCTGGATGTCTGGGTCCGGGGCAACCATGGAAAAGAGGCACTGAGCAGTTTCTTTTTCCATGAAGGGCGATTTGAGATTTATCACCATGCAACCCATCCGCCCTCAGTAATTCAGAATTGTAGGATTTTACTGATTTGTGTACCCTGGAGTTCGAACTCGGGTTTGTAATTCAATAATTCAGGGGTGTAGCAACTGGGCAATTTCTAATTAACAATTATCGAAGAGATTTTGATAGGGTGTGGCATGTTTTTGGTCTTAGTTCCGACGATACTCGTGCATATGCTTGTTGGAGTCTGATTTGGATCAGGCACCGGTCCAACTGTGTTTTAGACAGGGGTGTGCTTGAGATTTGGGACTCGAACTTGTGTCCTGTTTGTTGTATGACGGCTGACTCTATCTGGACTCTAGTCGGTACCGGTCGGACTGTGGTGCCCGTACAAACGTTGTTTCAAGCTTTGACTCAAACTGCGTACCGGTTGGATTGTTTTCGACTAGCTTTTTAGTATTTTTTAGTTCGGTACTTTGGTAACTTTCCAGGTGAAGTATTACGAGTGGATTGGTTGGCGTAATGGAGGAACTATAAATAGGTAGATGCGTAGTATAGTCGACCTCTCAGGTCTTGCGTTTGGCTCGACTATTGTCTGACGGCAGTAGCCGACGCCAACCGAAGTCGGGTTCAGGGAAGAATGGTGGACCATTGGGTCAGTGGTTTGTATGGTGGTACCTGTTGTGAATCGAACATCCATTCATCTACTTGTGTCTTCTCACTTTATTGTGACGGAGACGAGCTCTGAGTCTACTACTGAGTGATATTTCCCTATTCCTAGGACTGCACACGTGAACTTGCCTAGAGTCCACATACTGGGTTGAGTGAGCGTGCATACCCGTTTACGGGTATTACCTGTTACTATCTGTTATTTGCTACTCTTCGCTTTTCGTGGTTCACATGTCGGAGCACCGTGAAGGTGAAGGTGCACTTGGCGGAGGAGGCGACCATGGCGATCGGCGTGCCTATAGGCAACCGACTTGCTTCTCTTGCCATGAGGTTGGGCACTATGCCAACCAGTGCCCAAACCAAGAACGAAGACAGCAGTACTTATCGAGACCATCTACGTCAAGTGATTCGCGACGCTCAAGGTCGCCGAGAGGTTACGAGAGACGATGTCGTTACTCACCACCAGGGGATTCTGGGGTGCATTCGAAGATTGCTAAACTGAGTAAGAACATAGCTTCCATGAAGGAGCAGCATGACGTGGAGGCAAGGAGGAAAGAAGGGCGGGCTCGTAGGAAGTGGGAGAAAGCCGAAGCTGCGAGACTTGAGGCAGAAGAGAAGGAGCAACGCGAGACGTGGGAAGCTGAGGAGACAGAGAATAGAGCGAAAAGCTTTGAAGAAGAAAGAGAAGCAACGGATGGAAGCGGAACGAAGAGCGGAGATGCGGAAGGATTTGGGAATCCAAATGAGGATGGAGATCCAGGGGATACGTCAAGAGATGCGACATGAGTTGAGAGATGAGCTGATTGAAACCTTTAAGGAAGCGGTATTACCAGCTATGCAACCAAGATTGGACAAGGGCAAGATGAAGACGTTATCAAAGAGCGGCTCAGAGCATAGCGAGGAGGAAAGTGATACCAATGTGACTCAGGAAATCAAGGAGAAAGCTGGTAAGCTCTGCATCGTGGAGAAAAGAAAGAGGGGGGTGGAGCCTGTTTTGAATGTGTTTTCGAATATAGCCCTCCTATGGAGCTGCCACCAAAAAGGATGCCGACGAGGGTGATCATGAAACCTGTCAAATTGTGCGCTCGATTCACAAGATCGAAGGCGAAGCAAGTTGGTACTAAGAAACTATCCCCAGTGAAGACACCACTGTCACGGCGAAAGACATGCTTGAAAAAGACTACCCCGCTTCCAAAATTGGCAACCAAAGGCTCGCTGGCACTCTTACATTTCAAGAATAAGGTGATGCTACGAAACTCCAACGGATCTGCAAAGAAGAGGGTGTACCATATGATAAGAAAGTCGAGGCCATCTTCGATATTGTCGAGTGTCGGGCGATCGTTGCTTTTGGTGATGAAGCTGTTCCGAATGAAGAGATCATCCACTTGGAATCTGAGATTTGTGAGGAGCCTGTCGCAGAAGGAGAGCAGTAATGGGACTTCAATGCATCGCAATTATGGCAACTTTGCAGAATTTTATCGCGTTTCCGATGTAGATCCTTTTTCTGTAAATCGTAGGATTGAACGCCTGCTGAGAGCTGTTATTCTCTCATTAACGCTACGTGATGAAATTCGTTGGACAAGTAAGTTCTTACCGATTTGGCTTGAGCTGTATGAGCGGCATGGATTGGAGTTTCTGGATTTGTCACATGTTGTGTACGTAGCGGTATCACCTTTTTGTAAGTCATTTTACGTGGGAAAAACAACCTATGACGTCAACACACGTTGGCGCGAACATATCTATAGATGTCGCACACATAATCTCGCACAATTTCATCGTTGGCTATGCTCGTTCGAAATTGGGAATTACATCCTATTGCCAAGTGAAGTTTTAGAAGGTTCAGATTTACCTATGCTGGAAGATGTCTATATTCATCATTGGTCTCCATTCTTGAATTCGACGGGATGTAAGCATCAAGTATCGGGTACGAAGAAGCATAAACTGGGAAAAAATGAGCAAAGGAGATCGAGAGGGAAGAGGGATTTGAGTGTGCCCACGGTGTTAAAACCGATTCGGTTCCTAGTCTCACATTCATGTCAATGGAATATCGACTTTTACGATTTGTTTGAAGGAATCTACTCGAAAGGTAATTCCTCGACAACCTTTAGGACTGACGGTGGGAATACTTGGCGACCTGTTTGGAAGAAACTAGACTTATAGAGTATCAATAGTCTCAAATTCAAATTTAACCTCTTTCCAAACTTCACAAGCAGCAGCTAATTCAGGACTCCACTTGGTAGCCTCTACGAACATTTGGTAATACTAAGCTACGTTGCAATGGGGTGACAAGACTATTAAAGGATTGTAAAACCTTGATTGAAGTTGGTGGGTCCTTCGAGGTTGTGTTTGTCTGTAAATGGAAACCTCGTTGTGGTTATTTGAAGAAAACTTCGACTGGGATTTTGAAGAATCCATGTAAGCTCTCGGAGGTGTATGGATGGTACATGCATTCACTTCTTAGGTTGTACAACGTGATAAAGGACTTTACACGGAAATCTATGAGAAAATACCTACGACGCCTGATCTCTCGATGTTTTCGTGAAAGATTTGGCCTAAGCCTCTGCACAGATCTTATTTTTTGTGTATGTTTTGATAACCGGATCCGGATTTCTAAAGTTAGGAAGGTGGCTAATGACTCGCTTATGCTTTGTGATTTACCGGTTTGCTTTCTACATAGAGTGCGAAAATTTTTTTGTATCGTTTGGACGAAGAATCCATCGATATCTGATATATTGCACAATCAGCGTAGTTTCTCTACACGCAATGTGCTAGTTTGCAACTGCGCAGACTTCTCCCTTCTGCGACAGGATGGGCACGTCTCTTTCCGCCTCAGTGATTTAGAAGGCATTCACACGTTGCTGTTAAATGCTAATAATATTCCACGCGTTGCTGTTAGTAACCGCATCCCTGCACTACAGGAAGAGTTGATCCGGGGGTTTCAAAGTTGGCATAATTGCAGGAATGGGATTCCACCCGTGCCTATTGATGCACTCCACTCTTGTGTTGTTGACTCCACATAAAGTAGAGTTTCGTTGTCCATGGATGTTGTCTTGGATTTGAAGAGGCGCTTGGAGGGCCTAGTGATTACCGCAATCGATAGGAACCCTGGAGAATCTGTGGTGCTTTGTCCATATGTGTATCATGAAGCGATGCTCATGACTTTTGTCTATAATTCGGGCTACAGTATTGTGCAGGAGGCGGATAGGATCGTTCTTCGAGAGATCAGGGAGGATATGACTGAAGCTGGCCTGACTAAATTCGTCAGGTGGAACAAGGATGGCAGCTTTGGATCAGCGTATGTGATACCAAAACAAAAGGATCTGAATAGATACACACCAATTTGTCCTTCTTTCAATGATCCAATGGTAAGAATGGGACGTGTAGTGGCTAAGGGATTGAATCACATGTTGTACACGATTCCTCGAAGATGGCATTTTAACTTACGCTCCATATCAGACCTTTGCTCGTATTTGGATATCGCAAATAAACGGTTTCGAAGACTGGGACCCGAACGATGTATCGAAGCCCGATCCTTTGACATTAAAAAAATGTTTAGCAAACTCCCTCATGAGGAGATTTGCCGAGCTGTCGACTGGCTTGTGTCCTATCATTTGGATAAGAAGCATTACTTCGTTCGGGTCAATACACGGGGTAAGGGAGCCAGTTTTGGGGATACCACCGGAGGAGACCATTGGCAAAAGTTGGATCTGAGGGATTTGCAAAAATTTGTGGTTATGGATATGGCACGCACATACTTTTTTGCTACGAAAATGTGCATCCCTATGGGAAAAAGCACCAGCCCCCCTCTCGCGTGCATTATGCGTGCTTACTCTGAGTACTCATTTATGTGTTCATTGGGCAATGACGCTAAATTGGTCTTCGCTACTCGTTTGATTGATGACGTGCTTCTGGCCATATCTTACAAGGATAAGAGAAGCCGAAACAGGATTTGGCGCCTGTTTGAATACTGCTATCCGTCTAATTTGGTGTTAAAGCGGACAGATGATGGAACTGGGACGTTCACATTTTTGGGTTGTGAAATCCGAGTTGCACAAAGCTGCCCCTATTTAGGATGCTTGCAAATTTCAAAGAACGAGGCCTGCCTCTGGACAACCAATCGCCTGAGTATTCAAAATGGCCAATCTTATCATTCATGGGGTTGCAAACGTCAAAAGAGTGTCATTATTGGAAGCTACTTACATCGTATAGATCGGAATACTTTTATCCGATCCGAAATTCCAACGAGGGTTTTGACCTTGCAATTGGAGTTAGCGCTAAAAGACTTTCCCAAGGACTTCTTCATGCGAGTTTTGAAGCAGTTTGCAGTGAAACGTGACGACATCTGGGATTACACGGTTCGGTTTTTGTCTTAACCGCGATAATTGTGTTTCGTGTTTAGGGAGTTAGCCTTTTGATGGTCTGTGTTATTAGATTTTGATAGGGTGTGGCATGGTTTTGGTCTTAGTTCCGACGATACTCGTGCATATGCTTGTTGGAGTCTGATTTGGATCAGGCACCGGTCCAACTGTGTTTTAGACAGGGGTGTGCTTGAGATTTGGGACTCGAACTTGTGTCCTATTTGTTGTATGACGGCTGACTCTATTTGGACTCTAGTCGGTACCGGTCGGACTGTGGTGCCCGTACAAACGTTGTTTCCGTGTACCGGTTGGATTGTTTTCAACTAGCTTTTTAGTATTTTTTAGTTCGGTACTTTGGTAACTTTCCAGGTGAAGTATTACGAGTGGATTGGTTGGCGTAATGAAGGAACTATAAATAGGTAGATGCGTAGTATAGTCGACCTCTCAGGTCTTGCGTTTGGCTCGACTATTGTCTGACGGCAGCAGCCGACGCCAACGGAAGTCGGCTTCAGGGAAGAATGGTGGACCATTGGGTCAGTGGTTTGTATGGTGGAACCTGTTGTGAATCGAACATCTATTCATCTACTTGTGTCTTCTCACTTTATTATGAAGGAGACGAGCTCTGAGTCTTCTACTGAGTGATATTTCCCTATTCCCCTATTCCACTTCAGAAGACAGAGGAAAGCCTCAGAAGACCAGTCTACTCTTTTTTTTTTTTTTTTTTTTTTTTAACTTCGTATACAGGAAACCTACTGAACGAGGTGATAAGAGCATCCCCAGTAAGTAGGCCCCAGCGTCGAAGGCTCCATCTATTGGTGGTAAGCTGCACCTGCTGGAAATCGATCCCAGCGTCCCTATACAATGATGTGATTGTATCAGCTGGAAATCGGGTCCAGCGTCCCTGTGCAATGATGTGAATGTATCAGCTGGAAGTCGGGTCCAGCGTCCCTATACCGAGATGTATTGATACCACCTACTACGTACTACCTATGTATGTTCGCTAATCAATATATGTCAGACAATAAGAGAACCCTATCCAACTGATCTACATTTTCTGAAAAAACGAACTAAGGCATCAAGCCCAATCCTATCAATCAGACCAGGAGACGAAACCCTAGCTTTGATATGGTGTATGTGAGCTGGAGATCAGAACAATCGGACCCAGCATCTCCAACTAGGATGTGTTGTGTATCGGCTGGGAATCAGGCCCAGCGTCCCTATGCAGTGGTGTGTGGATACGAGTGGGTATGCCAGGAAATCCAAACTAGGTTGTAATTCCCCAAAACAGCGAACAAAGATGGAATGGATCTGTTCTGAATCAATGAGCCTAAGCACGAGACCCTAACTGTGATATGATGTGTATGATCAGAATCAATCAGAATCAATCCATCCTAAACATGAAACCCTATCATTGATATATGTGATCTGGACGGCGAGTCCAGCATCCTTTATGCAAAGAATGTGAAATCATCCAACTATACATTGTCCAAAAAGAGCAGGGGCATTGCTTACTTCCCTACAGAAGGGAAGGATTGACCTCCTGCAAGTGAGGTGATGACCTGGCGAGAGGCATCTTTATCAAACTGATCTCTACAGGCAAGGAGCAGGCAGCCACACTCGTGGTTAATAGGTGGTGTCATTTTCGGCGAATTTTTCACCGCAACACCGAATTCGGGAAAAGTTTTGGTGAACTCTGAAAGCTACTCCGAATAAGGTTTTATAGTGCTTTTGAGTGTTTTTTTTT